ACAGCCACCCCACCCAGCCACTTATATATCCCTTTAATTTTATTAATGTGACATCTGATACAAAAACAGATTAAATGGAATATTACATTTTAAAAAAGAATGTTCGATAAATTTAATGCGGTTCAGTTCCGAAACGAGAAAACGGTAGTCACGGTTTAGGGGAGATATAAATGGGGTTTAACGTCCACTCAACACAAACTATGTCATTTTGGGACTAACATATGGTTCAATTTTATTTCAGTAATTCGCTTGCGCGTAGGGTTCTTTAGCAGTTGGAGGAAATCGGAGGACACGGAGAAAACCCACGAGGTTCCCACGTACAACCGGGGAATCGAAACCATGCCAGTTGACTCAATGACAGACCTTATGATAATCATTCGGCCACCCCCCCTCCCCCGATTACATTTAAAAACGTTACATTCATTTGGTTTAAGTTTGCTATGTACACCCCTTTTTTTTATCATGAACAATGCTACGCATCTTTACTTTTCAGTAATACAATCCCCTGTTAGGTGGCTAAATTACACTGTCTGGCAAAATAATCATAGGAAAACTCGTGTAGAATGGACTAAACAGGTGCAAACGACTGCCATTCAATTTGGACTGTTCGCATATTTCACCTAACATTATTGATTAGAAATTAAATTAAACGAATTAAAAAATGAATGTAAATCACTTTATATACACTCATAGCGCATTATTATGTGCTTGTAGGCCCACTGTCGTCTGTTTCAAGGTCCGGGCAGAACAGTAGGATGTTAAACCCTCTATCATTTCATTTAAGGTTCCAAAGAATAGGACTATGCGCGCTTTAAGAATTCCTAAAAGCTCAATTATACAATAGCTAAACTTTTTTACTATTCGGAAGAGGAACACGGATTTCGTGATTGATGGATATAATGTAATTTATTCTTCTGAAAAACCTTTACATTAGTCTAGAAACTAGACAGTATATTTTTAGAGGTGTCATATTTGGTTCATAGCTACACTTCTGTCTGTGACATGTGTACTACTCGGTCAATACTTCCAAGGTTCATTATATTCTCCAAAGACGAAGCTAGTGCTAACGGTATAGCTATCGGTTTAAATCGTATTAACACAAGACTCTTTTTGATAACAATATTTTTTTTTAGTTTTAGAACATAGTGGCTTCTCGCTAAATACCACTCAAATAACCGTCTCATATGCAATGGTGGCAGGCGATAATATAAACCCAGCCCATTTAAAGCGTGAATGAAAAGTGTGTGTGTTTGTGTGAGAGAGAGAGAGCGAGAGAGAGAGAGAGAGAGATGGTGTTTAACGTCCACTCGACACAAACTAGGTCATTTCGGGACTAACATGTGGTTTAATTTTATTTCAATAATTCGTTTGCGCGTAGGGGTCTTTAGCAGTGGGAGGAAACCGGAAGACCCGGAGAAAACCCACGAGGTTGGACAGACGACCCTTCTCCTTGTCACGTACAACCGGGGATTCGAAACGAAAAATGACTAGTAAATGTAGGAACCGTCTATCTCTATACTATGATGATTAGCAACCGGGGATTCGAAACCACGCCAGTTGACTCAATGACATGAATGAAAAGTAGAAGGATCACTTTTTAAACCAAATGGGCTATTTTATGACTAGAAATAGATAGTACCATATTCTAAATTTTATTCATTCACATAACCCACCAAAAGGCATTAAAATCTTTTACCGGAATAACAAAATGTAATTAAACATGATCAGTGGAACGAGTCTAGATCTGTGAGTCATTCGTTTTTCTGACATTATGTCATTTTTACTTACACTGAGAAATAAATTACATTACTGCGCTCCACGGTTTTTAAAGTAAAGTGAATACAGTTCATACTTCACAGATAAATATTGATCAAGGTTTTTAGCGATTTGTTGATAAATGAAGTTTAATGTAGATATGCGTTCTATATATTGTATTACTAATGTCATTTAGTCGAGTGTTTGTTAAAATGGGTTAAATTCTACAGGGAATATTCAACTCTTTTTTATCACCTCTGATGAATAACAAAAAAAGATTTAAAGAGAAAGAGGCAGCAGCCAGAAGTGGTGTATTTTTCATCATGGTTTATTATACAACACAATATAGTTCTACGGATAACAATCACTATATTAAACCTTTTAAATACCCCTGGACCCATTAGTTTGTACATGATTGTATTTATTGACTATCACAGTTCCTTGAAAAAATTTAGTGCAAAATGATATATTAATGTGGGGACATCCCTGGACAGCCCTTGTCTGCTATATCACTTCGGTGGAATTGGACGTAAAATGGACAGACAGGCCGAGCCAGTCTGAAACTGATTTTCCTTAGACCACAAGATATGTGAATGACTTTCCGTATTATAGGATCATTTATTATTTCGTGTAAGTACCACTTGTTGTGCACGTGCCGGGACGGTCTAAGTACTAAAGGGTTAAAATGTAAATGTAGTTTAATATAATTTATCAGGACAATTAACATAAATTAATAATCGGGCATGGCTCTATTGATTTAGTTCACGCATTAAGCACACACAGCGCCATCTACTTCATACTTCGAGAATAGCATGGCCGCAATGACCAAAAACTAGCAATCTGATTAAAATACAGATCTATATTTCGTTTCGTTTTTTTTTATACTTTCGATGACCTACACTACATGAAGATCTGACAAGTTATAGCGATAGGTCACGTCAGGGGTCAAAAGACCGACTTATGACATTTTGACGTCAGACATTTGATTAACTAATCAGCATTGATGTTACTAGTGTTATTACCCACAGTTCCGTGAAAAACACGCCTAAAGCTCGCCGTAACAGACCGTTTCATTGACTTATCCCTGACACCATTCAGAACACAGTTAAATAACAAGTCTTCCAGATCCAAGTGTAGTAAAGAAAAGTTAAACGAACTTTTGAACTATAAAAACGAAACGAAATAGGATCTTTGTTTTAACCAGATTGAAAAATTAGTATACTGTTTTGTAATGCTGCCCTATTCCTGTTAATATCTGGTTTACACAAAGGCGCTAATAAAATCATTTTAATTTTTATTAAATAAAAGCAGAATATATACTTATAAAAATTCTCGAATTACACTTAGTTTTTTTTGACTAAAATCGTCGATTTAGGACTTAAAATGTCGGTCAACTAGCTTAGCATCTGTTTTAAGGAGAAAGTGATAGTCATGTTTACTTTATTCGTCGTTGTTAACTTTAGTTGTCAACTATGATAGTCTACGGGCGTCAAATGTCTTCCGAAGATTTTCATCTAACAAAACGTCCCAAAACAAACCCATAAAACATAAAATTTATGATTTCCTTAACTGTAGCAAAATATTATCGTTATTTGAATGAATGAAAGAAATGGCGTTTAACTTCCTATTGTTCTGCTCTGACTGGGCTAATGAAGACGGGCATATGCCATACAGTGTGCTATGAGGGAAACTTTGCTTTACTCGAATTTCATCTGCACAGGGTCTCGGTTTTTTGTCCTATCCGGAGTATATCTTGCCAGATTGGGACAACAGCACTGACAAGGGATCTGTGTCTGAACGTACCATTCTTCTAACGGCCAGAAATTATAAAATGATGGATGTAAAGAGTTTATTACATATAATTAGAACATGTTAACCAGTAAAATAGCTGCAATTTGAATGCTGTCGGTATGGCGTAAATTGCAATGGAATGCTTGCACGCTATTCAAAAACCACAAATGGTGGAGGTTAAAAGCAGTTTCTCCTAGGTTCAAATCAGGCATAGAATTTATGACAATAAAAATCATTTTGTTTGTGGGAGTTGGTCGGTGCGGCGGAGTAGACATTTGGTTTTGGTTAGCAATATCAAGGTTTTAAACACTCATTAAATGTATGTTTTGAAGTTTATATGAGAAATACAACCCCTTAAAGTTATATTGTGTCATGAAATATGTATATACTTTAATAATAAAATCAGCTTATTTCAAAATGTATGTAAATAAACTAATAACAGTATATTTAGTGTGATTTCCATATGTCTTATATACATTATAAGAAAACTACATCTGTTATGATAGTATATCGTCTATGTAGTTCGTGCTACATATTTATGTTCATTCCGCTACCTCCGTAAATCATAATATGACTGATCAAACAGAGGTCTGTTATCTTATTTATTTGTAACGTTAAGGTGGGGTTGAACTCTAAATGAACTAATATTTACCCGGATAAAAGGTTATCTATGATATTATCTTAGAGTAACTATGATAGTTCAACTTAGATAGTAGCTTCTCTTACCAGATATACCTTAATGTCGGTTGCATAACACAACGATCTTATATAACCGTTAAAACTACAAACAGATTCAATTAACATCAGGTTGCATGATAGGTGGAAAAAGTGGATTTCTGGAAATGAAACGCTATTTTCACTCTACTTGTAAAATTCCTAAATATTGTCCATCTCCAGATATTCAAAGGTTTGCCGGGCCTATGATTTGTATACTTGTATATAAAATAGAATTGCATGTGCTACGAGAAAGGCAATTTTGCCTGGACAGCGGCCGTACGGCCTGCTTTTATATCGAATTCCAGCTGTCAAGGGTTTTTTACGGGCATGCCAATGTGTGCGCGGGACCTCGGTTTTTCGTCCCAGCAGAACGACAAGACGCATCCGTAGGAACAATATCGGTCAACATCGGGAATGAACCCAGAACAGCCTGGTTAGTGAGCGTGCTCCATGTTGCGAATAACAATAACAACAAGACGCATCTCTAGGAACAATATCGGTCAACATCGGGAATGAACCCAGAACAGCCTGGTTAGTGAGCGTGCTCCATGTTGCGAATAGCAATAACAACAAGACGCATCTCTAGGAACAATAGCAATAACAACAAGACGCATCTCTAGGAACAATATCGGTCAACATCGGGAATGAACCCAGGACAACGTGGTTAGTGAGCGTGCTGCCTATTGCTAATAGCAAGAACGTGTTAATAAAATAAATGTATTATATAGTCTACCTACTTCAAGCTTACGATGAAAAAATGGTTTTCCTGCACAGATCGTCTTTAAAATAGTCTGAAAAAACAATATTTTAGAACATTAGACAAATCTACTGGTTTTATAAACTACAATTGTTCAAACAGAGAAGAGTTTAAAAATGGTAATTTTTATTCGGAAGCACTACAAAGCACTTCTAAGTCATCAACGTTCCAACGTCCTTAAAACTTTCCACAAAATGTAACACTTGTAAAGGGAAGTTTCAGTGGGATTTGAAATCTAATGTAATTGAATCAAAATTTGGCTTATTAATAATGTTATCTATAATTTGAAGATTTCTTGATTAACCTCTCAGCGGTATTTGAACCAATTTAATGTACTTTGTAGCTTAGACCCTCTAGATGAGAATTTCAATATTGAGTGAGATAAAAAAAATCCCCCGATATCCAATTTGCTTGATTGTGTTACGACCCTTTAGAATTTTGTATATAACACGGCATATTTAAAAGGAAATACAATTGCTAATCATCATAGTATAGAGATAGACGGTTCCTACATTTACTAGTCATTTTTGGTTTCGATTCCCCGGTTGTACGTGACAAGGTGTAGGGTCGCCTGTCCAACCTCGTAGGTTTTCTCCGGGTCCTCCGATTTTCTCCCACAGCTAAAGACCCCACGCGCAAGCGAATTATTGAAATAAAATTGAACCATATGTTAGTCCCAAAATCGCCGAGTTTGTGTCGAGTGGACGTTAAACCCCATTTCTCTCTCTCTTTCTTTATTAGCCTTTTTTCTGCCCAGTAGAAGATTTGAAAAAAGACTCACATTTCAAATAGGGAATAGTGCGGCAGGTGATGAGAGCAAAAGAGATATTGTAAGCACGAATAAAAAAAAAAGTAGACGCACTTGTTAAACCCAATGATAATGGACAGTTGCGTTTTGCGTTTATCCAATGGGTTGGTAACTATACCGGGGGCGTTAATTTGAAATTCGGCATTTAAAGCTCTACTACAAATTATCCCTTCAGCTAACAAGTAGTGACGGACGTTGTAAACGCGGTAGGATATATTCTTAGCCTAGAACACCTGGTATCATATCTCTACCGAGTAGTTCCCATAGGTAACATACTTTGTTGTACTTTTGCATGTACTTTTTACACCAGCTCCTACATTATTATCCAATAGCTATGCCTAATATCAGAGCTAGTATTATGAATATAATTATATAAAATTATGCATCTAAAATAGCATGGATACCACATTTAGAGCAAAAGACATCAAAAGCGTTAAACGACCGTGAGCTCAAATTTAATTTGTTGGGGTCTGTTTTCGTTGTTTTCGGTTTATTTACATTTATGAGATATAAATTGTGTTACTTTGCTGTGGTGTTTATATAGCCAACTGATTCCATATCAAACTTCACAGAGAATTATTGATCAAGGTGTTTAGCGACTCGTAGATAAATGAAGTTTAATGTAAACATGTGTTTTGTATATTGTATTAATAATGCCATTTACAGAGTTGGTTAAAATTCAGTTACAATCTAAAGGGAATATTCAATGTTTTCCTATTATGTACGATAATAAAAACAAACAATTGAAAGAGTTAAAGAGAGGTAAGTAACAGAAATTAGTCATGTCTTTTCAGACATGGTTTAATTTATATACAATTAAAACACATAAAGAGTCGTCAAATTTGTTCTGTTAACCACATTTGAGTATGTTGTATATATATATATATATACAATACGATACGTAATATGGGCACAAAATTGCATTTGCGACAATCGAGACAATTTGTAAAGAATGGACCTCCTAAATGGAACGATATAAAAATAATGGATTCTAGTTTTAAACGGTATAGATAGAGAAATGGGTTTAACATAAAACAAAAATAGGTCTAACACATGATTCAATTTTATTTCAATAATTCGCTTGTGCGTAGGGGATTTTAGCAGGTGGGGGGGGGGGTTTGAATCCGAAGAACCTGGAGAAAACCCCCCGAGGTTGGACAGGTAACCCTACCCGTTTTCACGTGATTTATAGCTGGAATACAATTGCAAATCATTGACATATCAGAGGGAAACGGGCCTGCATTTACTATCAGTTTTACACACCATTTATATCAGTAGCATGCAATAGGTCCAAAGATAGATTATTGCAGTATTTCAAACTTAAGTCTAGTTGTGTTTAACTCTTCAGTGTCATTCAATCGGAAAACCGAATTTCTAGGACCAAGTATTCAAAAATATCTATTACATTTCATGGTACAGTTATATTTACACTAATAATAACGTATTGCACTGCGATAACTGTGATTTATTAGCTGTCTGTGTAGCAGAACACTTTTCTAGACATATCCATCTAAACCAGAGGCATTGAATGTGTCCCCCGCTAGAGGTATTCCCCAAGACGACAATAAAAGAGAAATAAAACAACAATAAAGTCTGTTTTCAAAAGAAAACTGATATTGGATGAAGTTTTGAAATAGGGTTTTTATATTCGAATGACTGACAACTGATATTGATCTATTATTTCCAGATACTCTTGATTTAATCAAATCAAAGGGAGTTAAAGATCATGATGTAGGTTTGCAAGATTTTATAATCGGTCAAGGGTCATAACTCTTGACAATAATATTTGGAATTTGTTGAAAATCAATATACTTCTTTATCTCATATTACTACTTAGTCGCTAGAGTATCCAGTGAGTAATTGTAGACGCCGGAACGTCGGGCGAACAGACAGGGGCCACATTTCACGTTATGACCTCGTGTAAAATGTACGCGCACACCTTTGGGACCAAACACAGCTTGCACATTGCCGGGCTCCTGAATCAGTACCTGATGGAGGTGTTGTTGCATATGTCACACCCGTACCCCGGGAGCCCTGAATCCCTTATCCCTAATGACTACCTACCTACGGTGACTTGTGATAATGACCTCAAGGGATGTACAAACTTCCAGTGGTATACATGCAGTAAATAACTGATTATACGTCAGAGAAATTTTTGTCTCCTTTTGATCTTTGTTTGTTTCTTAATATTGCTTTTAGTTATATCAAAAATAATATTTGTTCCCTAACTAGCTCAGAGCAACGAGGAGGGCGGGAAGTGTTCTCGGGGGTGCTTTAAAATTAATGGACATGTATATCTATGGTCGACAATTATTTTACAGGGGGGGGGGGGGAGTTGCGCCCTCCCTAGGTACGAGCCTGACTGTGAGGGGGTTGGATGGTCGAATCGTTGGCGCGTGCGCGCTGTATCATAAGGTCGGTCATTGAGTCAACTGGCGTGGTTTCCATTCCCCGGTTGTACGTGACAAGGAGTAGGGCAGTTTGGCCAAGCTCGTGGGATGTCTCCAGGTCCTCCGGTTTCCTCCCACTGCTAAAGACCTCTACGCGCAAGCGAATTATTGAAATAGAATTGAACCATATGCTAGTCCCGATATGACGTTAACCCCCACCCCCTCTTCCCCCCCCCCCTAAACTGTGACTACCTTTTTCTCGTTTCGTGGACATTGGAACTGAACCGTATTGAATTTATCGAACATTCACATGTGTCAGGTTTATAGTAATGCTTTTCTTGCGATTTTATTTTGCGTTAATGGGTGATTATATCTGCGCAACAGTGAATGTTTTGGTTGGATTGTAGGAGCAAATTGCATATCAAACAAGTCACTAGATGAATGCTTTCGTTGTTTCAAACATAATTCTCCAATTTATACTCCCTGAGATCAGATTTCTTAAACAGAAATAAATCCCCAGATAGCATTAAGTCCTCGGTTTTTACCATGTTTCGGATAGCGTAATTCTTTATACTGTCAGTAAAATCTGTGGTTTTTTAGCCTTAACTATATAAAATAAACATAAAGCAGCAGAACTTGTAACAAATGTTTACATCGTGACATAACCCAGAAACTGTCTGATTAAGATGGATATATGGTATTCAGATTTTGGGTTTTCAAATTCTATCAAATTCTGATCAGATTATAATAATACTTTGGTTGTTATATATAATTTGTAAAAAATAGATGTAAGGGACAAATATTCAATCTCGGATTGGCCCATAAAATTTATTGTTTTACTTTACTTGGTGATTGCTAACTCATTAGGTACATCGCGCCGGGGTCCATGAAGACCCAGGGAAGGGGAAGGGGGTATAAATATCCATTTATTTTATTTACGCCGGTTTTGGTGCCACAGTACCCACCATTTCGATCCCCGGTGCCCTACCCTGGCGATGTAGGAGTAAAGTGAAAGGCGGGGGTGGGGGATAATGTCTTCCTCCGGCACATAAAAATTATCCCTGCGGCCCTAATTAGGTCAGTTCATCGGGATTTCCCAGGATGGTTCGCCTTGTCAGTGGTGCAGGACGGAGGGCCTAATAAGGACAGCTTTATAGTCGTTCGGATGGAACGAAAATCCAAGGGCCCGTGTACACAATGGCGTGTACGTAAAAGATCCATTGGCAATTGAAATTTGATATAAGAATGATCGTAGCGCCGCTGTCCTTAAAACCATATTTTATTTCATTTCATTTCCTAATTAGGTCTAATAAAATCGACACGGTTTAGTATTTGTAACCTAACAAAATATCTTCTGTGAGTCATTCCTAAAATGAAAATTAGAAAAAAAAATGATTATATGTTAATCTTCGTATTAACGGAAAGCTATTTATTGAATTTTCTCAAATGGAATATGATTCTTTAAAATCACCCGAGAAATATCTGGTTTGGGTTAATAATAGCTTTACCGTTACACAGTACCCTTGTGACTATAAACACCAATGAAATTAATCGCAGAGAGAATTTACACAAACACGGACATGCTTTTAACAAAATTTGATTATACAAGAAAACAAAAACATAAAATACCCTCCAAGGTCTGATCGTGTGGATATAAACTGTGCAATATTTCTATGTTTATTAGATGATGATCGTACAGGGACAGCTGTTGATGTACAGTGAGGGTTGAGTTATGGTCACAGCGGGGTTATAATATTATTATAATGTATCTTATGGGACTACTAGTTAAACGTTACCGATACAGATAACTTTTGGTCCAGAGAGGACTTCACGCTTGGTGAACGGGTGTGTGTGGGGTGGGGTGGGGGGGGGCTCAATTCACCCTGCTTGCACAAAGAATATTTTTCTTTCTCCTTCATTCATGTAAGAAACAAACGTTCGAAGCATTTCCGTTTTGGCTTGACTCCACTCTAAACTTATACACGTATGGACCTAAATGAGTAGCAATCTTATCCCAGAGCTTCTGATTTGGTCAAATTCTTGGGTAATCCCCAAGACCTCCTATCCAATTTGACGTTGTATCCATGTTGGACCTCTTGCCGTCCAAATTCCTTAACATGTCCCTGTTGATTTGTGTTTCTGTTGTTATTAATTAATAAAGAACTGGTATAATAGTTAAAAACTAGATAATGTAAAGGGAATTTGCTGAAAATTTCAGTCAAATTGATCCATCCTGAATTTTGGGCCTAGCCTCGACCATCATTACTAAAGTCGGTACGATAAAAAACATAAGTCTCGATTATCCACGTTTTGATTTAACCGAAGCAGCAGACCGTGTTCTAATCCAGTAAATATCGCAGGCTAGCGATGCCATCGATAGTTGATTATGGTCTGGATAAGTTCATTAATGTCTAATTAATAATTTAGATAACATTTCAAGTCTAAATAAAGACCCGCAATTGGCAGATTTAACTCTTGCATAATGTATGTTTAATTCAATACTGCGAACTGTTTTTTGTTACATAAATAATAGAATAGCAAAATGACGGCACACACACGTTTCAATTGACGTCACACACACGTTTCCAGATTGGAAAAGCCCCCAATGTATTTTTTATTTGATATAATTGTCAGATTCCATTAAAACCTAACTTGCATGCATACCGCATTCGGTAGTCCCTGGGGAGACCCACGTAGCAAGAGGGGCGATGAATTGCCGAGGATTTTAAATATACGGTGTAAAATTAATCATAAAATGTGAAACGCAATAAAAACTGCAGTAGGATAGATTTTTTGTATTTGGTATGGCTGAATGGTTTAACACGTGTGTATTAGATCAAGGTCTGCCATAGAGTCAACAAGTGGCGTGTTTTCGATTCCCGGCTACAGTCAAGTATCGTGTTTTCGATTCCCCGCTACAGTCAAGCGGCGTGTTTTCGACTCCCCGCTTGTCCCTGACAGCGAGAAGAGTCGTCTGTCCAACCTCGTGGATTTTCTTTAGGTCCTCGTTTTTTTTCCATTGCTAAAGAGTCCTAGACACTATCCTTACCAGCGCCCCCCCCCCCCCCGCCCAATCCTGCAACGTTGACAAATTCAGGATCGAATCCCGGACGTTCTGGTTAGCAAGTCAGCGCTATGCTCACTGAGCCACCGCGGCTTCTTCGACCATGGGCCGAAACAAAGAGTTGTTTTAGACTAAATACTAAATATTTAACAATCACGAAGTTTTATAAACGGGGGTGGATTTGTTAACCACTAATAACTACTAAATATCAACAAGCACGAAGTTGTTGAAAGTGTTAAAGTAACTGTACTGGTAACATCTGGAAGATTGGATAATAATTCCATCGTCTAGTATAGCATCCCCGGGGATTTGGGGTAATACCCATAATCAACTGATAATACAATTATACAGAGATAATATATTAGTATAATTAATTCGATTCGCTTCGTGTTAATTTTGTGCGGTGGCCCAGGGAGTAAGACGTTGGCTCAATAACCTGGACGTTTCGGGTTCGATCCCGGTGTTGGCAGAGTTCATCTTGATTTTCCGGTGTGGTTCTTCCTTGGTAGTGGTGCAGGACGGAAGGTCTGGCAAGAGACAACGTATACCCAGTCAGTGCAAACAGTAGGACGTTAAACCTCATTTCCTTTTGTTAATTTGTCTTTTTCTATCAAGAGCCTTTCCTGTGATCTCACCAATGAACTTAATATTATCAATTTGCCTTTTAACTATAATTTTAGTTACTTTCACACTGTACCAATTCGAGAAAGAACTCTAAAACATGATTCCTAATCAAAATTTCTTCGGCATTCGATTTTGGATTTTATCCATGCAACGACCATCTAAGGTGATTAGCATTATTTTTTTTTAAATTACCATCTAGGTTGAAATACTTTCATGTAGTCAGACAATGATTGGTATCTTTACACTGATACTCTCGGATTAAAATTAAATGGTATTTATTTCGTTTTTTATGCTTTCACGTTATTCCGGTTTCCCCCACTGCTAAAAAGCCCTACGCGCAAGCGAATTGTTGAAATAAATTTGAACCACGTGTAAGTCCCGAAATGACCTAGTATGTATCGAGTGGACGTTAAACCCATCTCTCTCTCTCTCTCTCTCTCTCTCTCTCTCTCTCTCTCTCCCATCCAATCACGCCAAAACATCGTTCACTGATTTATGTAGAAATTGGATGAGCAGCGCTAGAAGACCAGTTACTAATTCAAGAAATATTGATACACCGATTTCTTTTGATCGTTATTCTTGTTAATAGATAAATGCAATAAAACGGTATATTTTCAGCTGAATAAAACGTTTATTTCGGTCATCTACGTCAAGTGAAATATTAATAACAGTGGTGATTGCCTGAAATGGCGTTCATCTTGACCAAATGGCGGCCATTTTGGATTTTCACGTGACTAACGGCATTTTTTACGTAAATATCCCAAAAGGCGTCTTCCTGCCAATTATGGTGCTCGTACCACAATCTGGGCGATGTTTAGCTATGTCCAATCTTATGTAATTTAGAAAATCAAAATATAAATAAAGCTACAATTTTAATTAGATTGTCTTGATAAGAATCTGGCGTCTCTTCAAATTAAGTATATGCTGTGGTGTTTTCTGACACATCTGCACATCCAGATATATGAAAGAGTTTGTGTAAGAATTCGCCAGGTTCAAATGGTACCCAAATTAAGAACCCGTCAAGTTTGTAGTGATCGAGAGTATTTCTATCAAGCACCAAGTCCCTCTTTGTAAACCAAAGCGCCCGCAATAATAACAATGTTACCTATTTGAAGTCTAAAAAGAGAGAGAGAGAAATGGGGTTTAACGTCCACTCGACATAAACTAGGTCATTTCGGGACTAACATAATATGGTTTAATTTTATTTCAATAATTCGCTTGCGCGTAGGGGTCTTTAGCAGTAGGCGACCCTACTCCTTGTCACGTACAACCGGGGATTCGAAACCACGCCAGTTGACTCAATGACAGGTCTTATGATACAGCACGCACGTGCTAACTATTCTGCCATCCAACCCCCCTGAAGTCTAAAAGCATAATCTACCGGTTAAATCTCACTAGTGGTACGGGACTCCAGAGGAGGGTAGAAGTAGTGCCGGGTATCCTGACGAGACACCTATATTATACAGTGCATAATCAAAACATGTTTATCATTTAGAAATTAAGAGAGAGAGAGAGAGAGAGAGAGAGAGAGGGACAAGGGGGGGGGGGTGTTAACGTTCACTCGACACAAACTTGGTAATGTCGGGAATAACATAATGTTTAATTTTATTTCAATAATTATGGGTCTTAAGCAGGAGGTTAGGTTAGGTTGTCACGTACAAGCGGGAAATCGAGACCACGTCACTTGACTCAATGACAGACCTTCTGACAGACCCTCCCCCCTCCCCTCATCCGCCCTTAGAAATTTAAAAGTGTGTAGCCTATACTTACCTCAATCACCAATATAGCTAATATTGTAATACTGGCCAAGTGGAATGCATGGGCTATGTCATCTTCAACACTATGTCTGTGCGCTCCCATAACAACACTGTGCTTTACACCAACTGAATGAGTTTGCATTTTATTATCAATACTATAATTTCCACTTCCTGTACCGACGTCATATCCGTTATTATAGGACACTGAATCACGGCGCCTGCGTGACGAAGACGCCTGACCTGCATGTTCTGATGTATCGTTGTTTAAAGTTGTTGCATTATGAGAATAGTAATTCCAATGTATTTTAGAATCAAGTATTTTCATGAATATCACACGTATTTCTACCTCCACGTCCACTATATCTTGAGGATACTGCCTATGGAGTCCTGATATAAATCCCTCCATTTCAGTTTTACTTGACTGTAACGTATCTGAAATACCAAAAAGATAATTTATATTTTAAAACAAAATAAAGAGGTCAAATTGGCATGTTTGTGGGCTCTTGGACAACCAAGTAGTGCTGACATTGTATTTATACACCTGACCCATTCCGGTGGATATATCCACGACTGTTATTATTTTGTTTTGGCGTACTTTGAATCTGATTGCCCATTAGGATTGATGTTACTATATTTTATTCTGTAAATACGTGTCATGTTTTGTTGTACGTTTAGGCCGATGTTACTATATTTTATTCTGTAAATACGTGTCATGTTTTGATGTACGTTTAGGCCGAAGATATTATATTTTATTCTGTAAATACGTGTCATGTTTTGATGTACGTTTAGGCCGATGTTACTATATTTTATTCTGTAAATACGTGTCATGTTTTGGTGTACGTTTAGACCGAAGATATTAGAGACTTTTAGCAAGCGGAATTTTACCATCCGTATCACGTATCCGTATGTATACGTGATACGTTGCGTCAATGCAGTTTTTGAGTTTTGGCAGATTTTCGCGTCGCGTACGTTTGCATCGCTGAGCCGAGCTTAGTTCTATTACAGCATGATGGCAGATATCTACCAAGGTCACCATCAGTACTAGTCAAGTGCCTAGCCTGCAATTTCTCGGTGCGAGTGAAGTCGCTCGATATTAAAAAAAAATTAATGTTGACATTGGTTATACTTATGTATCATTTCAGAAAGTTTAGATTTTTAAGATCCCACCTCCCTAAATTTAGCACGTAGATCAACCAGCATGCAGACAGACGGGAAAAGTATGAAAATCCCATCAAAAATAAAGATTAAATTCCAGTCTTTATCATGGTTAAATCACATCAAATATACACCTTCGTGTTCTAGGATACACATAGATTCATAAAAAACGCTATGATACAACATTTCAGCGTCTAAAAGTAGCAAAAAAAGACAGTAAAAAGACGACAATGTTATACGGACCTTTTCCGTATGAAAACTGTTCGATACGTGCTGCCGTATCCGTGTTCCGTATCACGTATGAGAAATACACACACATTGATGACGTCACACGCAAAATCTATACGGATACGGACCAAGAATTTACGCTTGCCAAAAGTCTCTATTATATTTTATCCTGTAAATACGTGTCATGTTTTGGTGTACGTTTAGACCGAAGATATTATATTTTATTCTGTAAATACGTGTCATGTTTTGATGTACGTTTAGGCCGAAGATACTATATCGTATTCTGTAAATACGTGTCATGTTTTGGTGTACGTTTAGGCCGACGATAATATATTTTATTCTGTAAATACGTGTCATGTTTTGATGTACGTTTAGGCTGACGATAATATATCTTACATGTATTTTATAAAAGTACGTGACACGTTTAGGATAATGGTACATGTACCATATTTTTTTCTGTACGAACAATTAGGATCGACGGCACTATATTTTATTCTGTAAAAGTACGTGACACCTTTAGGATCGACGGCACTATATTTTATTATGTAAGTACGTGACATGTTTGTTGTACCTTTGGGTCGATCATACTATATTTTATTATACTATGCAAGTCTGCACATTCGTAAATGCCTTGTTTTCGTGTACATTTATGACTGTGTTTATTCTATAAGTACGTGGCATTTCTATTGTACATTTAGGATAGACGGTACCAAGTCTGTAAATACGTGACATGTTTTATTGCACATTTAGGTTAATGGTACTATATTCTGTAACGTGCTTTGTTGTGCCCTTGGGATAAATGATACCATATTTTATTCTATAAGTCTTAAAGTACGTAACGTGCTGTTTTGTACAATTAAACTATATTTTATTCTAACTTAGATTAACGCCCACGTTAAATATTGTGTTTGTCATCTTTTAATCACTCCAAAGTATTTATCTATATCTTAAATCGGTACTGGTTTTAAGCCATTACCTTGTGTTCTCCAGATTACATCTCTGATTCAACTTAGGTTGAATGAACGTTTAATAGTAAGTGCAGGTGAAAAGCACCACACATAAACAATTATACCCAGTTATTTAACATTTTATGTGAGCATTTCGCATGAACATCTTGGTATAAAACATTGCTACATTTCTTTTAAAGATACATTATAGCAGATTAGATAAAGTAAAGAATTGGCAGCTCCCGCGATAACAGTTTAAGAAACTAGATAATGTAAAGGGGATATGCTGAAAATTGTAGTCAAATTACTTCACTCGGAGCTGAGAAAACCGCATTTTAAAAACACTATAGCCTCGATTGTCATTGTTAATGCTGTACCGATAATAAAGAAAGTCTCGATTATCCATTTTTGAGGTTAATCATCAATGGGCGTTTAACAGCAGATCGGATTCAAATCTAATGAAAATCAGACACATAAGATGGCATCGAGAGTTGATTATGTTCTTGTCATGTTAATTTAATGTCTAATTAATAGTTTATATAACATTTCAGGCGTAAAAAAATACCTGCAATAGGCAGATTTAGCTCTTGTATAATGCATGTTTAATAAATATATATACTATTCAAAAAAAGTAGGGGATATTTGATTTTGGGGGCATAATACTAAAATATGCAAATGACTACGAAAAAAGTCACTATAGAACCTAACAGAAGAAACATTTCCAGTTACATGTGACGCCCAAACGCACCAATAGCTACCGCATGGAATGCAGGTGATGCTTGGGATCATCATGGGGGTCCAACCCAAGATTTGCACGACTCTGACTTTGAATGTTACAGTCATTGTGGCATTGAATTCCAGGGTGGAAACATCAGTTTAATTGTTTTAGTGACCAGAAAACAAATTTTGATATGCGTCGGCTTACCCAAAATGAAAGGTTACGTGCCCTTGGCATGCTACAGATCGGCACAACACAGGCGGTTGTGGCGCGGACGATGAATGTTTCTCAGTCTGTCATAAGCAGGCTATGGTCCAGATACCGTGATACACAATCTGTACAGGACAGACCACGCTCAGGTCGACCAAGGGCGACAACGCAAGCCCAGGATCGATTTATCCGTACCTTGGCCTTGAGAAATCGTGTGATCACAGCAAATCAGATCAGCGCTCGTCTTCAAACAGACACTGGTGTGAGAGTGAGTGGCCAGATGATTCGGAATCGACTGCATAGGGGTCACCTTCGCGCCCGACGTCCTCGCGTGATCCCTTGTTTGAGAGATCATCACATTCAGGCAAGACGTCGTTGGTGTAGGGATCGTCAACACTGGGATAATCGACGCTGGAGCAATGTGATGTTTTCAGATGAGTCAAGGTTCACTGTTGATTTTTTGGACAGACGTAGGAGGGTGTGGCGTCGTCGAAACGAGCGCTTCCAAGACGTAAACGTCATCAGACATGATCGATTTGGGGGTGGTTCTGTTATGGTGTGGGGAGGCATCACTGTTGCTGGAAGAACGGCTTTACATGTTGTTGCAGGGCGTGTTACAGGCCAGTACTACCGGGACAACATCTTGGCAGTCCATGTTGTGCCGTTCGCACGACGTCATGGCCGCCGTTTCATCTTCCAGGATGACAACGCAAGATGTCACAGGGCCAGGATCGTTACAGGTTACCTCCAACAACAGAACATCACCACATTACCTTGGCCAGCACTGAGTCCCGACCTCTCCCCCATCGAGCATGTCTGGGACATGCTTGGACAGAGGTTACGTCAACGTCAACAACGTCCTGCCAATGTCCAAGAACTTGCTGCTGCGTTGCAACAGGAATGGGACAATCTGGACCAAAATGACCTTAGACGTCTCATTAGGAGTATGCCACGTCGGATCAATGCTTGTTTGGCAAACAGAGGAGGATTTACCCGTTACTGACCTGGTTGTGATGCTGTGGTAACTTTGCTGTTTGACACCGGGTATCATTTTACCCTTATAATGGTCAGTCTGTGCCTTACTTAGTCTAACGATCATTTGGAATAAATCGATGAATGTGAACTTCATTTCATTTTGTCATTTGTTTCTTCGTCAGTTTCATTAGGTGACTTTAATAACACATAAAAATCAAATATCCCCTACTTTTTTTGAATAGTATATAACATACAATATACATATACCGTGCTATTATTAAAGACGGGTTTGTCAATTTATATTGAGATGACATGTTTCAGGCTATTAGGTTATTACTAGAAGTAAGTAAAAGAACATGTCTTGCAGGCGAGGAAATTACTGGGAAAAGTTCCGTTTACAGCTATAACAAATCCCGTGTATTCATAAGTTTTTTTAATGTTTTTTTTGGATATGATTGATGGAAATACATTTCGTAATATTTGATCACAAAGGCAACCATATAATAAATTCCCCCGCGTGGCTAGTGGGCAAAACCCAGTTACAAAGCAACCTGTTTTTTTATACAGTAATACAAAATTAGTTCTAATTGAAGGGACCATTGAGACTTTGTAAGGAGTTGTTGTAAGTAGAAGGACTATGTTAGCTCAAAGTATTAAAGCGTGATTGATTGGTTCTTTCTACAGCGACAAACCGATAAATACACCGATCGATACGTTTAACAAATAATTTCTAAAAACTTTATTCAAACCTTTAATTGATCTGAAATTAGCTATTTGTGCCAAGGTAAATTTGTTTAACGTTAAGTACGATCTGTTCGGCGTTGCAATATAAAAGGCAACACTATGTAAGTGCAAACCCATTAATTTCCGTAGCTCTTAGCCTGTCAGACGCTATTCAGTTACTGTGATAGCAACCTGACAGGATACATTTTACTAGTTCTCTAGACATTGTTAGTTAACTTCAATCACTGAATTAGAAAAAAAATAGGTTTTTAGAGTTTAAGTGGAAACACTGATGAAATGTGTATGAATCGTGTATGTATTATACTACTCATGAATAAAGCCAATATTTTTAATGTACAATTGATTAGTTAACCGTTGTTGCTCAGAATGGCTCTACACTAAAGTAGAAATAGTGTTAATTTATGAAAACCAGCCACTTCCAGTCTCTGCAATATATGGAATGGATCTTAACTTTC